CCACATGACTTGGGTCGGATTCCGGACGGACCGGGCCCTCAAAATCTGACTATCTGAGACTGGTTACTCATATTAGTGGGCCTCCAAACGTGCACATGAATAAATTAGCATGATGACCACGCGTGCACATACTTATATAAACGAGAGTTTCTCAAAAAAACTTATATAAATGAGATCATGGGTGGCAGTGGCACCATCGCCATCGAATAAAAATTGCAGGGTTTGCAAAGTGCACTGCACACATTCCGAATGTGGCATGGTAACAAAGCTATTAATTAGTCCTTTCTTGTTCCTTTTTTTTTTGCAAAAAGGGAGCTTTATTAAGAATTATGTAATGTCTTTACAAACGAGTGCCTGAACACACTCAGGAAACAAAGAAAAGTAAACTCGATTCTCGCTTAATCTAAAAGCTAAATGCGCGAGCTCGCAACTTTATTTTGCTCCCTACTAATCCTACAGACCTCTAGCCGATGCAGGTGGCAGCATTCATGAATGGCTTCCTGGATCAGAGGCCACACCAGTGAACCATCCAATCCAACCTTCGCGCAGTGAGCTTCTCCACAACGCCGGCGCAATCAGACTCGAGGATGAAATCGGGGTCAGGCCACCTAGCTGCAAAATGGATGCCATCAAGACAGACCAAGGCCTCCGTGTTCTGCGTCCCTGCAGTGAAAAATTGATCTCCATGAGGTTAGTAGAGGTTGCCCGTCACTATCTCTGATGATTACACCCACTGCAGCTTGTCATGATGTACGTAGCAATGAAAGCCCCATCAACATTAATTTGTAAGGAACTCTGCTGCTGCATGCATCTCTTACGATTATTTTCTGGAGCACGTTTGCAATTCCTAGAATTCTGAACCTGCTGCTTCTCTTTGCTACTAGTGACCACCGCCTGTTGTTGCATCATGGATAGAGAGGACATAAAAGATAGCTGAAGATTCAATATATAATGGGGCCATCTTTTAGGATACCATTCCTGACACTCCCAAGAAAGTGGCGGTTTAGCCGAAACCTCTGCAAGCCACCAGAGCCGCCTCTCCCTTTCGCTGGATCTAGGCTAGCTCGTCGGCTTCACCTGCAGTTACCAGCCGAGTCCGTCTAGTCTAAGAGTAGATAGAGAGAAGCCATCCATCCTTCATACTGTACTACTTTTATAGTCGTGGCTGTCGGCAATCCAGGGACCGATCGGCCTCGTTACCACCGGCTACCTCACTCCATCACCCCTCGCACGCACCTTAAACCTTACATTGACTGATTCAGATGCATTTGCACTTATCAGATACTCTGTAATCTTCAATTATGCAGGCTTCCGTTAGTTGCACTGATTGGATCGATCAGGCAACGAAACAAACTAAACTAGCCAGCATTACAGATAGCCCTGCTCATGGGCGAGAACCCACGCCGTTCCCACTCCACCCAAATCCCAAACCCACAAAATCAGATAGTTTGTTCAAAAAAAAAGGGGGGGTTAATCCAACCCAACCCAACCCAACTCGTTTTCACCCCCCAACCCAACCCACGTGGTGCGTTGCACCCATGGCAACCCATGGGTAAGCACACGATTCACTACATGGTAAGTACACATATGGATAAGCACTACTGCAGAATCCTGCTTCTCGGTTCCAGGTTTCTTGCTGCATTCAGTACACCGAATGGGTAAGAACATGATTCAGTACACCGAATGGTTCAGCAAGAAATTAAATTGATTACAACACATTTGCTTACAAACAACGCACACCAGAAGCTTCAGAATCTTTTTGTCAAACCGGAGCCTGTTCGGTTGGCTGGTGGATCTCGTAAACGATCATAAATTTCCAGCCGGAACAGTATTTTTCTCTCACACCAAACCAGCCAGCAGTAATAATCCACGATCCAGCCACGAACCAGCCAGCCAACCTTAACGACGATGGCAGCCTGCAAAACGGATCAAAGACATCCATCTATCACCGCGCGCCTAACCAGTCAAGGTCGTCAGTTAGTTATCACCTACTCCTGCTACATACTGCTAGCTAGTAGCTGCTCTGTCTTCTTCCTTTTCTCATGCACGCACAAGCACAAGCTGAATTCTCAAAGCCTGCAAATTAAAGCTGCGATAAATTAAACTGATGATTGACTCACTGAAGTCCAAAGGTAGATTGATCTTCATAAGAGAAAATGGGATGATTCCAAGCTAGAGACAAGGTATAGACAGACACAGATGATGCATGCTGCTAGTGCTAGCTATAGGTGCATGGCATTGCATTGCATGGAGCCAAATTACAAGCCAGCAGCAAGTAATCCTATGATGGTGTATGTGCTCCAACTCCAACAGCAGTGACGCGCACGCACTTTATTATTTGGTAAAAGTCACCAACAATGACGCTCAACTTTGCAAGAGAAGACATGCATACAAACCTGCAGCAAAGTCATCGTGTGCTTGTTGTGCACCACCCATTTATGCATGGATGCAAAGAGTTGAATGAAAGAGAAAAGGGTTTGGCGGAGCCAGGATTTTAAGGTACGGTATTCCCATCTCCAAACAAAAAAAAAGTCCAATCCAAAGGTCTAAAATATAGTAGGCATTCAACCTTTGACTTCTACACAGATGTCCAAGATTTTTCTTATTTGCAATATCATCGTGACCAGATCCTCAGCAAAAAAAAAAAAAAAAAAAAACTCGAAGCACAAAGACCGATGTGTATAATGAGGTTACAGTACTTCAACAGGAGACAAATGTAGCACTGGCTATAGAAGAATCTGAGGCTCAAATCAAGAATCTTCAGAGTGACTTGGAACAGCAGCACAACCAAATTTCAGTTATCCAACAAGCAAATAAAGAAATGCAGGATAAAAACTCTAGCTTGCACAAGCAAATTGACTAACTGAAGAGCAGAAAAAAGAAGGGTGTATATAACTAAAGCAAACTGGGTTCATTTCCAAAAAAACAAAGTGCAGATCATGATTACACAGCAATAAGAACTCTCAGTCTACCCATTAAGTACTAGAAATTCTATCAAAATCATTCAGAACAATGAGTGACATTGTGACAAGCATTTCTTCTGAGCTATGATAATTTGTACTTAACAAACAACCAGCGCCTCGACAGGCAATGAGCGTGGCCACAACAGTGAAAGAAAATTCCACAGCCTTAAGCAATATGTTCCCTGATAGCTGACTGCTGACCACAGCCATAAGCAGCACATATGTTTTCTTAAATTAAGGATAGCCGTCCTTACCATTTTCAGAATTTTTCATTGCAATAATAAACACATGATTGTAATTTATTGGTGGTCTTAGCATGCTCCTTACCAAGTTACCAACACTGTGTAAGGCAAGCATGGCACAGTAACTTGCTAGCTGAAAATGATGAAAAATGAAAGCCAATTTGCCTTTTCTTCCTTTTCATCATTTTATAATTGTCTAAAGAGCTAAAAAATCCTTCAAACTTGCCAGGTATGCTGTATGATATGCATATGTTCTGTTTTTGTGCATTTGGACAGAAATATATAACTGAAAACATGTTTGGAAATTATTATAACTGTGCTACTAGCTTCCTCCACCTTGCCACAAATTAAATCAAATGAATCATAGCCCATAGAATCAAGATACGGTACCAGTCCTGTATGAATCATAGGCTAGCCCATAGAATCATAGCCAGGCCAGCAGGTCTAATCTGGCAATCCATCACAATCAACCAAGGTCCAAGTAGTCCCCCAGAGATCCGCCGGGGTTTAAGAAGCAGCTCGAAACAAAAGGAGCTGTTAGTATCTCATTCCCAGCTTACAGGCCAAACAGACAACGATTTCTTAGTATCAAGAATACCTCGTTGGCCTTTACAACACCAGCTTTTAAAAATTGTTTCATAGAGTTTCTTCTCGGTAGCAATTTAGGCTACCTGAAACTAGTAGTTCAGATTCTTCAGTGTGACAGACACCATATCTAAATCCAACATACATAACCTGATGCAACACCTCCAAAGCAACCACAGCAGGCAGGCCAGCCGGTCTAATTTCACAATCCATCACACAATTATCAACGAAGGAGTCCTCCAGAGATCCGGAGTTTAAGACGCAGCTCGAAGCAAAAGGTGCTGTCGGTATCTCGTTCCCAGCTTACACGCCAAACAGACAACCATCTTTTGCACATGGGCAGAGGTCCATGGCACCCAAAACGTTGTTTAGAATCAAGAATACCTCCTTGGACCTTACAACACCAGCTTTTAAAACATGTTTCATAGACACTTTCTTCTAAGTAACACTTTAGGCCACTACCTGAAACTACTAGATTCAGCAACAGCAAAGTACAATCTAAGCATTAGTAGAAACAAAAAAAAAATTAGCTTGTGAGATCTATGCAAAACATCAGCTGGTAAGAACATGATGATAAAAATGGTTATAAGCTAATACTGGCAATAATAAAGACTTATCCATAGAAGAAAAAGTAAGTTCAGGATAATCTTCAGCCATGTATACTATGCAGATGAAGAAACTAACAAACATGCGCACTGAGGATCCAGAATAAGTGAAAACACAGCTCTTTCATAAATAACCATAACTTAAGTGGACTATGAGCAGTCAGGGATCACTAGAGATTGTATCCAGAATACAGAAACAGCTGCTAATGAGCATGAGTTGCAGTTCCACCATCCACCTTCGCGGAGCTCCTCCTGGAGGATGGCGACCTGTCACTCGAGTGTCTCCACACGGTCCACAGGGTAGTTCATGCGCCTGGTTGCCGTCTCAGGGAACTTGCTGTCCAGCCATTGGGTGAATCCAGTCCTTGCAAGGATCGGGGTCAACAAAAAAGAACAAGAAGAACCAAACCGCATTTTGCAGCTCTCGCATTGCAGTTGTAACTCGTGCAACTTTTCAAGTCAACATAACACTGAAGTTTAGAACCAATATAATAAGCGGAGGCAACTAATTAGCAGTACAAATGACATGGTTCAGATTGTTCAGATGGGCAACACTTCCAAATCAACTACAGCAGCCAGGCCAGCAGGTCTAATTTGGCAATCGATCACACTCTAGAGGGCACAATACTAGCACAAGCTGCAGCATAGGCATCTGCGAGGCCAGGAACAGAGTCCTCGTGACAGCCGATGAACTTCAATTTGAAAGCTTCTCCTGTAAGATGAGCTAATGAGAAAAGGTTCATATTGCTATTCAGCAATCCCTTTTCCTGCAGCACTTTCAAGACATGATGCCGGGGCACTAGCCGTTTCTCCAAGCTAAATGCGAGCAGGATAGGCCTTTGCACAATATAGTGTGGCTCCATCTCAGCCTCGTTGACCAGGAACTCGATCTTGCGAAGAAGAGTCGCATCAGATAATCCTAATATACGTGGCATCTTGGACACTGCAATGGAAATCTCAGAGTCAGAACAACCAAGAGTCCTCTTAAAGAACTCAAACTTGGCAGCAACCTTCTCACTGGAAACACTGACGACGATTGCCACTGCTTGCCTGAACAACGGCGACGCGGCAGGTACCCCAAGTTCTTCTGCCCGCAGCATGAACTCCTTCACGCATTCCGGCTTGAAGGTAAGCACCCATTGGTTTTGTAAACACACCTTAGCAATGTCTCGAACACCGCATTGACGAAACAAAGCTATGTTGGGCTTGATTATCTTCTCAAGGCTCACATTGAGGAGGCTCCTGTTCCCCTTTGCGACCACGAGGACCCGATCAAACGAGCCGAAGAAGGAGATGAAGAACTCAACCTTGGGAGTGACGTCGCCGCGGCGGAGAGAGCGTGAGTCGACCGGGGGGGGGGGATGTTATTGATGTTATTTACGGAAGCACGGAGGAGCAGCGGGTCCGCGGAGACGACGTCGGCGATGTCGGCGCGGGAGAGGCCGGCGCCGGAGAGCAGGGCGAGGATGCCATCGGGGTTGGAGGCGGAGATGAGGTAAACATGTCAGGAGCGTCGTACTTAAATGATCAGGTAAAGCATTTTAACTTAAATGAGTCATAAAAACTTAAAACGAAAAGTTAATTCATGATTTATAAAATTAGTAAGGAGAGATGTTAACTGATTTTTATTGAACACAAATGCTATAAAACATATATGTGACACCTTAATAAAGTTTGAAGTATATATTTTATAGAAGATAGTGCAACTTTTGTTTTAACAACATAATAACGCTAGCTAACATTTCTAATAGTTTGGAAATCGAATTTAAAACAAATCTAACTCAAGAATTAGTCAATTTTTTAAGTCCGAAAATAGATCGATAAAGCTATGTTTGGTAATTTATTCGGTAAAAATTGAGTTTAGGAGTGGTGTCGTTCTTTAGCTCTTGTTGATAGTCTAAGGTGCCCTCTTTAGAGTAGTGAAGGTGGTTTGGTGATTGGATCAACTGTGTAGTTGTTTCGAACGCTTTAAAATCCGTGCACAGCGCGTTCTCAGGCTGTTTTTCCTGGCCGGACGCGATCACCATGCCGAGCAGCCCGCTGGCCGGCCGGAGCTGCCCGCGCTTTGGCCGCCTCGGGCTGCCGCCGCGTGGAGCCGTGGCTGCCCGACTCGTCATGTCGCGCTGCCCCCACCTGCTGCCGTTGCCGCGTGTTGCTGCTGCCCTCCATGCCGCGCCACGACAACGCCGCTGCCGCTGCCGCTGTCGTCGCATCGCTGCGCTGCGCAACGCTGGGCCACTGGCTCGCCTGGATGCCGCACGCACGAGGCCGAACCGTCGTCGACCTCGAGTGCGTGTCGTCGGCTAGTGTCGGCCGTGGTCGCTCCGGTCGCGTCAACCGTGTCCCGCCAAGCAAGCACAGGCCAAGCCTTGACTGCGTCCCCACCGTCTCCCTCCCCTCCCCTGTCCTATTCTTTGCTGCCGCTGTCGAGTTGCGCCAGCCCGCCTGCATGCGAGAAGCCATCCCCCATCAATTCCACGTGCCTGCGCCTATGCTCTCACGTCCTCTTGCTGCCCGCCCCCACCCAGAGGTCAAGCTCCAATTTGGAGCTTCGCCCCGCCACCGCGCTGTTAAGATCCGTCACCGCCCTCACCGTGGCCAGCCCCCTCCTCAACGTCTCGAGCCAAATTAGTTGCACCGCTAGCCCCGCCTAGAACCCCTCCTCATCGTGCGCATCTAAGACGCACCTCTAACATTACCTCCTCGCCGCTGGCACGACCGTGTCGCTGAGGTTCGCCGTCGAGCTCGCCGCGTGCACGTGGTCTTGCTCGCTCGGGGCATCTCGGGCTAAACCATCACCTCCGCTAGGTCAGTGGTGAGTCCCTGTTGCTCACCCCGCTATCCCTACTGCCTTGTTAATACCGTGGCTCACCATAACGTCGTCGTCATTGCCGTAGGGTGCCCGCCGTTGTGGAGAGACCCTTCTACTGCATCTCAGTTTGTGCAGCCGCCACCCATCGCTTCGTGTCAAACCCTATGTGAGAGTCAGCCTCGTAGATAGGTCAGCGTGGATCCCGTGTGGCTGGCGCAAACGCCAATGCCACCGCTCACCGCGCCGGCGCGCGTGGGGATGGTCGAGGACCATATTGTTGTAAAGGAGGGAGATTGCGAGGGTGTTCTTGCAAAGTTGCTGTCTATAGGAATAGTGCGAACAGCTCCGTGCGAATACTAGGTAGCGCAGCGGCGTCTCTACAAAAGCGCCAGCGCGCGGGCTGTCTCTCGCCGCGGGCCGGTGAAAGCTCTAGTTTGGTTTTGGTTAATTGATGAAACCCTAAGTGCTAACCTAGTTTATCAAGATGTTTATGAGATAGGTAGCACTACTCCAAGTGATGAAGCAATGACAAAGATCATGACAATGGTGATAGCATGGTAATGATCAAATGCTTGAACTTGGAAAAGAAGAAAGAGAAAAACAAAAGGCTCAAGGCAAAGGTATAAAATGTAGGAGCCATTTTGCTTTAGTGATCAAGACACTTAGTGAGTGTGATCACATTTAGGATAGATAGCCGTACTATTAAGAGGAGTGTAACTCGTATCGAAATGCGGTTATCAAAGTGCCACTAGATGCTCTAACTATGCGCCGGATGCAAAATTCTTGGTGGTTGGCACATTTGAGCAAGGGTGAAGAAGTTAGAGTTGAAATGGAGTTGGTCGAAATGATGCTGGCGTCGGTCTACTGACCGGACGCTGGGTCACTCAGCGACCGGACACTGAAAGGCTGCATCCGGTCGAGCTGTCAGGCGGCACAGTGGGTAAGGTTGAGCACCGGACGCTGGTCTGCGTCCGGTCAAGGTGGACCGGACGCGTCCGGTCAAAAAAACATGCCTCGGGGAGCTTACTGGAAACGACCGGACGCTGGGGCTTCAGCGTCCGGTCAGTTTTGACCGGAGCGTCCGGTCAGCTTCGTAGCCGTTGAAATCTGACGAACAGCGTTTGAAGCTGGTGACGCGTGGCGTCCATCGGGCGACCGGACGCTGAGGGCCAGCGTCTGGTCGGTATGACCGGAGCGTCCGGTCAGAACGTGTTTTACCCAGTGAAGGGGTACAACGGCTCTATTTGATGGGGGCTCTATTTATAGCCCCATGGCCGGCTCAAGGTAATTGACTTGCACATTTTCATTGACATAGCAACCTTGTGAGCTTAGCCAAAGCTCTTCCACTCATCTCCATCATTGATCCATCATCATTGTGAGATTGGGAGAGAATTCAAATGCATTGCTTGAGTGATTGCATCTAGTGGCACTTGGTATTCGTGTTGCGCTGCGGATTTCGCTTGTTTCTCTTGGTGGTTGCCACCACCTAGACGGTTGGAGCAGCGGTGAAGGATCAGCACGAGTTGGTGATTGTTCGTGGCCGCCTTCGGTGATTGTGAGGGGAGTTGTACCTTCCCCGGCGGAGTGCCGAAAGGTAACTCTAGTAAATTGCTCGTGTCATTGAGTTACCTCACTTGTGGGTCGGTTCTTGCGGTGTCCTATCGTGTGGACGAGGTTTGTGAAACACCTCTTAGCCGCCGAACCACCAAGTGTTGGTCGACACAACGGGGACTAGCGTGTTGGCAAGCACGTGAACCTCGGAAGAAAAATCGGTTGTCTCTTATCATTTGCATTCTCCCGGTGATTGGCTATATATATTCATCGTGTAATTGGTTCACTCCACGATCCGGCGGTATAATCGTCTCACTTACTCATTTACATTTCCGCAAACTAGATATAGCAAGCTCTTTAGTGTAATTAGAATTGAGAGCTTGCCTTGTGCTTTAAACATATCTAGTGGAGCTCTTTAGTGTAGCTTTTGTGAGAGCTCTTAGTGAGTAGTGGTCAAGTAGATTGTGTGCAAATAGATCATTGCAACTAGAATTGTTGGATAGGTGGCTTGCAACCCTTGTAGAGCTAGAGTAAGTTTGCATTTCGCTATTTGTCTTACTAATCAAATTGCTCTAGTTGATTTGTAGTTTTTAAATAGGCTATTCATCCCCCCTCTAGCCATATTAGGACCTTTCAGCCGGCCTGTGTGCGTGGGCCGAGTGGGCCAAGTCCGCGTGGTTGTGGGCCACGCTGGTGAATTCGTTTTTTCCTTTTCTTAAGGAATTAGAAATAGCTTTATGTTTTAATTTCTGAGCTGAACTTTAAAAATTAATATCAATTCGCATAGGTGTCCAAAAATTGTGAAATAAATTTTGTTGAGTTCCTAAAAATGTTGTCTATCTGATGGTATGACTAGATTATGCAGGTCTGAGTTGATGCTAAGGCTTATTAAATCATTTGAGAGCGCTTAACATTATTAGGTTAAATATTGTGCTTTGTGTCTGGTGGCAGACAAGCACCTCCGGAAGCGTATTATTTCGGGCGGTTCTGCTAGACAGTGGGAGGATAACTCCTCCAATGGCTGGTTGGATTCTCTGGATAACTCCTTGAACGCCTTCTTGGACACCTCGCGAGCTTGGGCGGGTGCGAAGCCGCAGGCGGCGACGAGGTAGTCGTCTAGGGAGAAGGGTGCGGGGACGGTGGCCGTGGAGGTGGAGGTGGAGGTGGAGGTAGAGAGGAGGCGGCACACGCTAGAGTGGATGGGGAGGGAAGCCCCGGGGAGGCGGCGCGAAGTAGGGGGAGGAGGCGATTTCAGAGGTGCAGCATGGCGCCCGCACGGCCGCTGCCGCGCTCCCGGCTGCCCTGCGGCCGGCGTGGCAGCTCTAGTCGTCTCCGCCGTCGCTCCTTGATTCGGAGGCGAGGGAGGCAGGCAGTCGAGACGGAAGAGGTGGAGTGGTGGAGCCCTCTGGAGCTGGGCTCCTGGGAGAAGGCCGTGTGGTCGATTTGGAATCCTAGGCTGCCAAACGGGCACATGACTTGGGCCGTATGGACCAGGCCATCAAAATCTAAGCAGAGTTCTCCACGGCGCACGCGGCTTGTGATGCTCTGATCCCCCGGTTCGTCGCCCACTCGCGCCCGGTCGCCCCTCGCCCGCCGGCCGCCGCGTCGGGCTCTTCGGTGCTGTCGCCGATCGCGCCGTCAGAAACATCAGCCCCAGCGCTGTCAGAAACGCCGACTGGGGTTGCCTCCTTGTCCTTGGTATTATAGGTAAGCCGCCGCTCCCGCTTGTCAGGAAACATCGGCGAATCACCTGCATTTGTGTTCGGTGTGCCACTGTGTTTGTTATGCCCCACTGCGGCATTTTATTTTCAATTTTTGATCAAGAGCTGTCCATCTTCATCTTCAGTACCGTCGTCTTTTGAACAAGCATAACATTCTCGTATCCGCGCTCTGTCCTGCGCCTTAATTTTTTTTTCTCGAACGTGCCGTATAGCACGTATTTCATTAAGAGGAATTAGACAACACCGAACCAAACAACAAACGGCTCAACACTAGGTAACCAAAGGTTTCCCAGGCGAGGAGAAAGAAGAAAAATAGAAGCGAAAAAACTAAAGAGAACTACGACGAAGCCCGGCTAGTACCACAAGAGGGACTAAAAGCAACAACGGGCTAAGGTACAGCGAGCTAGTAAACTAGGCCATGGGCAACGATTGGACGACCTAGAGCGGGTACCCAGAGGTAGGCTAAACCTCGAGTTCAACCCCCTCCACCAGCTGGATGCCGTCAATCGCGTAGCCAGCCGGGAAGAGCATCCTAATTGCCTCGCGCTTGGACTCCGAGAGAGGCTCGTCGAAAACGGCCATGTACTTATCGAAATCGCCCTCCACATCGGCCTGCGACGCCTGATCCTGCTGGTGGAGTCCCCATTTTGCCATCAGCACGTTCTGGGCTTGCACGGTCGGGTTGGAGGCTCTGCATCTGCTCTTGGCCGCAAGCCTCCCGCTACGACGTGGCGGTGAGGATGTGCATTCAACCGCACGACACCTCCTAGGAACACGGAGACGTGGAGGTTCGACCAAGATCGGCTCCATGATGGTAGAGGAAAGTTGCGACCGTGAGATATGCGCGAGATGTCACTCGGTGACACCGGAGTGGCGCCACAGCCGCCCGCCGCCGCCATGGGGCGACAAGACCATAAGCGGAGAAGTAACTCGACGGCGTCCTCGCATGGTCCGAAAAGTGCTCCTCGTCTGAAGAAGCGGCCGAGCGAGATGGGCCAACACAAAAGCTGCTGCGCCGGAAGGAAGCGACCCTCCACCGGGACCCCCCACCCCGAGGGCTCCTCCAAGACGGCCAATGCGCGGGTCGAACTCTGCTTTGGGGCGATGGAGGCTACAAACTCCTCGAGCATCGGGTCATCCGTGGCGTCGCGACGAGGAGCACGCGTCGTGATGCCAAACCAACAGTGTCAACGGGTCAACCCAAGGAAGGCACGTCCCGCTGGCCGGCACGACGAGGTCGGCCGTAGCGTCGGTGGAGGGGGCGTTGGTGCCTTCCTGTGGCCGTCTTCGGCGCCTCTCACGTCGGCGCCGACGGCCTCGGCCAACAGGCGTACCGGCAGACGGCACAAGCACAGCCCCACCCGACTCCGCCGGACCGACGAGAGCGGTGGTGCGCGATCGACGACCACCAAGGGCCCCAAGCGACGACGCTTGCCGGCTCCCACCGGCGACCTCCGGAGTAGGAACTGTTCGCGGACGCTTACAGGCACGGGCCAGGTGGCCCAAACCATTGCAGCGTAGGCACCGGCATGGGAGGCGGCATGTCGCCACACGATGTTTCCAGGACTGGCAATTGAGACACCGGCCCCGGAGCTGCCGCTGCCACCCCTCACGTACGACACCCCGGCACTGCAGCTACCACCCCTCAGCGTCTGGAGCTGAGACGCGGTGACGCGTCCCACCAAGGTGCGTAAACACGCCGCAGGTCGCTGGGTCCGACTGATCCGATGTCGCCTGGGCTCCCCGGCCACCCGATCGATTATGGGCCTTGCGCCGCATCCGACGGCGGCGCTGGCGCTGACGGTGTCGGCGATGACGCCACGGGCGGCGTACCCTCGTCGCTCCACCGTCGCCGTCCGTTGGGGCCACAGCAGCAGCGGCAGCGTCGATCGCGCCTGGTGCCGCAACACCCAGCGGACATGCCGGAGCGATTGGGGTAGCGATTAAGCGCCCGCGGCGGCCTCGTGTACGACGAAGGAGAGCAATCGCTGATTGAGACGTCGGAGAGTAGATCTTCATCCTCGTCGGCCCACCGACGGAGCTTTGACCTCCCCATCGAGCCGCGTTCCGGGTGGAAAGGAAGGGCCGAGGGGAAAGGCCTAACTTAGCGCGCGTGGGGACGATGAGAGGAGGGCACCGCCGGCAAAGTTGGACGTCCTTCCGGCTGGGGCAGCCGGGAGAGGGTGGGCGCCAGACCGGAGCGGGCGCCGGCCAGGCGGCGTGGACGCTAAACCGGGCGGCGCCAGGCCAGCAATGCCGCCCCGCCAGCGTCGAGCCCATGCTTTCGGACGGAGGCGCCAGTGACCCGAGCGAGAACGGGTAGGAGCATCGAGGCTCGAACTCGCCAAACTGGCAAGGGTGGAGAGTGACCTACCAAAGGATAGATCAGGCGATGGTGGTGACGAATCTGGTCTTGATGGGGAGTAAGCGGCTGGGGAAGGAGCGGATCTGGGCGGATTGGGTTGTGGCGGCTCGAGGAGGACGGAGGAGAGGGACGGGTCGGGGGGGGTCAGGGTCGTCCCATCGTCCTCCTGCGCCTTAATTTGATACTCCGTATAAGAAATTTCCACTTCTTCCTGTTACTAGACCGACAAACGTTCTCTCGTAGCCTAGCAACCAACCAGGAGCCCTATTTTGAACCGTTGCTACTTTGCTAGCTGCGGGGGGTTCACTCCAAAGATCTCATGCAACCACGCTGATAACACTTGCCCTCGTGACGCCGCCTCTAATGGCCCATTCAGTTTGGTGTCGAAATACCGAAAGCCGGAGTCTACCCCGGTGGCACACATGTTCTAATTTCACCGTCCCCGTGATAAATTCTGAAATAATCCACTAATTCACCTGCCATCCCTCATACGATGCTGTACTAACCCATCAGTATTCAATTGCACTTATCAGATAGTAATCTTCAATTACGCAGGCTTCCGTCAGTAGCACTGATGGATCAGGCAACGAAACAAACTAAACTAGCCAGCGTTACAGATGGCAATGCAATAGCACGCCCACAGTTCAGATTCTTCAGAGCGACAGACACCATGTCCAGCATACATAACCTGAGGCAACACCTCCAAAGCAATACAGATGGCAATGGCATACCACGCCCACGGTTCAGATTCTTCAGAGCCAGACACCATGTCCAACATACATAACCTGAGGCAACACCAGGCCAGCAGGTCTAATTTGGCAATCAATCACACAGCAATCAACAAAAGAGTTCTCCAGACATCCAGAGTTTAAGAATTAAGATGCAGCTCGAAACAAAAGGAGCTGTTGGTATCTTAGCTTACAGGCCAAACAGGCAACCATCTTTCACACATGAGCAGAATCACGAATACATCGTTGGCCCTTACAACACCAGCTTTTAAAATTGTTTCATATAGAGTTTGTTTCTCAGTAGCGCGTGCGCACTCACACACATTCGGCTTGTGAGAGCCAGGCAAAACATCAGCTACAATAGAACATGCTGATAAAAAAATGGTTATAAGCTAATACTGGCTAATTCCAAATATCTTAATAAATTCTACAATAATGAAGACTTATTCATGGAAGAAAAAGCAAGTTCAGGATAACCTTCAGCCATGTACTAGGCAGATGAAGAAACTAACAAACATGCGCATTGAGGATCCAAAATAAGTGAAACACAGCTCCTTCATAAATAACCATAACTTAAACGTGGACTATCAGCAGTCAGGGATCACTAGTGGTTGTATCGCAGAAATCAGAAAAAGCCACTAATGAGCATGAGCTGCAGTTCCACCATCAACCCAAAACAAAAAAAATGAGATTCTACAATTAGATTCTACTAGAGGGCACAGTTCCAGCACGAGCTGCAGCATAAGCATCTGCGAGTCCAGGAACAGAGTCCTTGTGACAGTCGATGAACTTCAATTTGAATGTCACCTCTCCGAATTTAGTTAACGTGTAAAAGCTTGTATTGCTATTTAGCAATCCCTTTTCCTGCAGAACCTTCATAACATGATGCCGGGGCACAAGCCGCTTCTCCAGGCTGTATGCGAGCAGGACAGGCCTTTCCACAATGTACCGTGGCTCCATCGCAGCCTCGTTGACTAGGAACTCGATCTTGCGGAGAAGATTTTTGTCAGAGAATCCTAATATAGCTGGCATCTTGGACACTGCAGTGGAAACCTCAGACTCAGAACAACCAAGAGTCCTCTCAAAGAACTCAAGCTTGGCAGCAACCTTCTCTTTGGAATTATCGACAACGACGGCCACCGCATGCCTAAACATTCGCGAAGTAGGAGGCACCCCAAGTTCTTCCGCCCGCAGCAAAAACTCCTTCACGCGTTCCGGGTTGAAGGTAAGCAACCACGCTGTGTCTGTGCAAAGCCGAACAACATCTCCAACACCCCACTGATATAACAAAGCTATGTTAGGCTTGATTACCCTCTCAAGGCTCGCCATGAGGAGGGTCATGCACCTCTTTGCAACCACTTGGACCTGCTCATAACGAGCCATAGAAGGAGATGAAGAACTCGAGCCTGGGAATGACGTCGCATTCGCGGAGAGCGCGTGAGCCGACCACGAGGAAGCGAGTGATACTTACAAGACATGGCTCCCAAGGCTGTGCATTTGTACTTGGATCCAATTTGAAGTTTGTCAGCAGTTGCTCCAGTCCATTGGATTCCATGCCTAGTTGCTGACTCTTGGGATTATTCTGCACAATTGTACTCACAACTTCTGCCGCCTTTGCTAGGATGCAGCAAGTAACCAAGTAGAGGCCCACCAATAAAATGTAGATCTTTTTGAATAATTGCATATGCATTAGGAGTTATTAGGAGTCATTCACAATAACCACCAGAATAAGCATTTACAAGGAAGTCTTAATTACAACCATGAATCATACCGTTTCCCAAGAGATCTGGAATTTCAGCAGCAGCTCAAAACAGAGGGCATTGCTGGTTAGATCGGCTCATAATCTGGCTTAGTAATAAACTCCTCTAGATGGCATAAACCCGTCATGAGATGCTAAACCTTATAAAATAGTGCCTGCTACTGTTACGCACAGGCATAAAAAATAGAAGTATTTCAAGAGAAACACCTACTTAAAATCAGAAAAGTAAAGAAAATGGTGGTAACCAAGTCAAGATGCCATAACTTAACCTTGGACATAAAGAGGCACATTCTCTATATATCAGATCAATTGCCGCAATCACAGCCACAAAAATCAAGATGCCAGTATAAAAGGGTTATATTCTCGATATGTATATTCTGTGGAAAACAAAATTTAACGATAATAACTACTCTCTGGTATGAAGTCGTCTCCCATAGAACTTGGAATTTAATTTCAGCTGTTAGTATCTCATTCCCTTACAAATAAACAGAAGAAAACAAAGTTAAGGATAATCTTCGGCCATGTGCTAGGCAGAAGATCAAACCAACAAAATGTGTCACTAGTGGTTATATTGCACAAATCAGAATTGAGAAAGCCTGCACAGTGGACAGCCGCTAATGAGCATGAGTTGCAGTTCCACCATCCACCTAAACCACATAATGAGATGCTTAAATTACACTCTAGAGGGCACAATACCAGCACGATCTGCAGCAAAAGCATGTGCAAGGCCAGGAACAGAGTCCTTGTGACAGTCGATGAACTTCGATTTGAAAGTCTCCTCTCCAATTACTGATAATGTATAAAAGCTCATATTGCTATTCAGCAATCCCTTTTCCTGCAGGACCTTCAACACATAATGCCGGGGCACAAGCCGCTTCTCCAGGCTGTAGGAGAGCAGTACAGGCCTTTCAACAATATATTGTGGCTCCATCGCAGCCTCATTGATTAGGAACTCAATCTTGCGTCCAATATTCTCGTCAGATAATCCTAATATTTTTGGCATCTTGGACACTGCAATCAAAACCTCAGACTCAGAACAACAAAGAGTCCTCTTAAAGAACTCAAGCTTGGCAGCAACCTTGTCTTTGGAAATATCGGCAACGGCGGCCACTGCGTGCCTAAACATCCGCGAAGTGGTAGGCACCCCAAGTTCTTCTGCAAGTAGCAAAACCTCCTTCACACGTTCCCGGTTGAAGGTAAGCACCCACGGTTTTTCTAAACACAGCCTAGCAATTTCTCCAACACCCCACTGGCGAAACAAAGCTATGTTAGGCTTGATTACCCTCTCAAGGCTCGCCGTGAGGAGGCCCTTGCACTTCTTTGCGGCCACCAGGACTTGCTCAAACGAGCCATAGAAGGAGATGAAGAACTCGAGCTTTGGAACGACGTCGCCCTTGCGGAGAGCGAGTGAGCCGACCAAGAGGAAGCCAGCTATCTGGGGAGTAGACAGACCGACCCGGTCGCGGAGAGCAACGAGACGAGGGGCGATGTTCTTCACGGAAGCGCGGAGGAGCAGCGGGTCCGCGGAGACTGCGGCGACGATGTCGGCGCGGGAGAGGCCGGCGCCGGCGAGCAGGGCAATGATGGCATCGGGGTTGGAGGCGGAGAGGAGGCGGGACCGTGAGATCTCCTTGCTGGATTCTCTGGATAAGTTGCGGAACGCCTTCTTGGACACATCGCATGCTTGGGCTGGGGCGAGGCCGCAGGACGCGATGAGGTAGTCCTCGAGGGAGAAGGGTGCGGGTAGAATGGCGGTGGAGGTGGAGGTGGAGGTGGAGAAGAGGCCGCACGCGGGGCAGTGGACGGGGGAGGGTAGCAGGGAGGTGGCGCGGAGCAGAGGGAAGAGGCGATTTCGAAGGCACAGCATGGCGACGGCGGAGGTTCGGCCGCCAGCTGCGGAGGGGAGGCGCGCCGTCGGCGTCGGGCTATGCGCGTCAGGCTGTGTGGGTGTGGCGACCGGCGCGGTGCGGGCGAGAGGGGAGAGATGCGGAGCTGCCCAAGCGGGCTGGGAGAAGCCCGTATTTGTCCTCTTGCTGACAGTATCGTCGGATCAAATAGCCCCAACTCCTTCCAGTGAATTCGGCAAAAAAAAAAAAAAAACCATCACAATTAAGCTTTAAAAAGCTCCACGGGGGTTTCCTTCGATACTTCTTTCTTCGGCGCACGTGGTTGCCCGTCAAACTGTGGTCGGTCACAATTGGAGTGTTCTCTTCAGCATATGATTGATACATCGAGCAAGGAAATCTGCTCCTCGTTTTCGACCTTCTGCTCTAATTATATTTCTCTCCTGCCAAATATACCACATGATGATAATCATCAGTAGCTTTTGTTCTTCCTTAGCCTTCAGAATTAGTTCGACTACGTCCTTGACCAACACAGTAGTCACCAACTCCACCCTGAAACTCTCTAGGTTCAGATTCCTCCAAACCTCTTTGGTAAGGCAGCACTTAAAAAATAAATGTCCAACATCTTCATTTGCTGAATCACAAATTGTGCATCTTATTTCAATTCTCATCCCACGCTGCACCAGATTTCTCCTCAAAGGGTGACTATTATGAGCCAAATGCCAGAAGAAATGTTTTACCTTGCCTGAGATTTTCAGCTTCCAGATTGCTTTCTAAATAAGATCAGATGCATTACCACTGCCACCTTGTGCCCCCCTCGGCTTCTTTCACGCAACAGATCAGCTCTACAAACTTTGTAAACACTCTTGACACTAAATCACCCATGATTATCATAGTGCCATGCAATTAAATTGTCCCTCCCTTCATGGACTGTTAGAGCCAAAATTACCTTGACGTCATCTTCCCAAAAAATTATGTTCACCAATTTCACGTCCCAGTCCCCAGAGCTCGAATTTATCAGCTCCGAAACATAAGTTAGAAAACACGCCTCTCTAGGAGTAATTGGCCTTCTGAATACACCTCTCGGCAACCAAGGATCTTGCCAAATATGCAGGTTATTACCATCACCAACACGCCAAATCATGCCCTTCTATATTACATCCAACCCCCGGATAATACTACGCCAAGTGTAAGACATATTCGACTTTGGCATAGCATCTAACACCGAAGAATTTGCATAGTATTTGGCTTTCAAAACTCGAGCACATAAAGAGTCTGGGTTTTTCAGCGGCCGCCAACTTTGCTTTGCAAGCATAGCAAGATTAAAGGCATGTATGTCTCGAAATCCCAAACCACAACCGGATAACCCTATATCACACAACAGCTGCGGATTGTCATTCACAAATGCTAACTTATCTTAGATATCACTCCTTTCACTCGCATACCTGTACACCATAGAGTTTTTTTAGACCCATCATTAAATTGAATTAATATTTCTTGTTTTCAGTGGTCTGCAGGTTCGCGATAAACCTCATGGCTTTTGATTTATTAGGTTGACGCTCATAACCTGATGCCTTTTGATTTATCAAGTTTACGCTCATGTGATGTTTCTTAATGATAAAATGGTACCTAAGCTGTGCTCATCTAGATTAGATGAAACTGTGTACCCTTCTGGTGGTAATTAAGAAGTAAAAAATGACAATTCTGGTACTCTAATTAGTTTGAACTAATATTCAGCCCCTCCTACACTATAGAACTTTGCCTAAAAATTTATAGGGGCTCCACTCCTCCGGTATGGGTAGGGGGGGCTTGACCCCCCCCCCCCCGGCGACCTCCGGAGTAGGAACTGTTCGCGGACGCTTACAGGCACGGGGCAGGTGGCCCAAACCATTGCAGCGTAGGCACCGGCATGGGAGGCGGCATGTCGCCACACGATGTTTCCAGGACTGGCAATTGAGACACCGGCCCCGGAGCTGCCGCTGCCACCCCTCACGTACGACACCCCGGCACTGCAGCTACCACCCCTCAGCGTCTGGAGTTGAGACGCGGTGACTCGTCCCCAGCCGTTGGTGCGTAGGCACGCGCAGGGTCGCTGGGTCCGACTGATCCGATGTCGCCTGGGCTCCCCGGCCACCCGATCGATTATGGGCCTTGCGCCGCATCCGACGGCGGCGCTGGCGCTGACGGTGTCGGCGATGACGCCACGGGCGGCGTACCCTCGTCGCTCCACCGTCGCCGTCCGTTAGCTACCCACAAGAAGCAGCGGCGGCCGATCGATCGCGCTGGTGCCGCAACACCAGCGGACATGCCGGGCGCGATTAGAGTAGCGATTAAGCGCCCGTGAAGCGGCCTCGAGTGCGACGAAAGAGAGCAATCGGCCGATTGAGACGTCGGAGAGTAGATCTTCATCTCGTCGGCCCACCGACGAAGCTTTGACCTCCCCATCGAGCCGCGTTCCCGGTGGAAAGGAAGGGCCGAGGGGAAAGCCCGCTAGCCGCGTGTGGGGACGATGAGGAGGGCACCACGGCAAAGTTGGACGTCCTTCGCCCGGGCGGTGGGGAGAGGGTGGGCGCCAGACCGGAGCGGGCGCCGGCGCAGGCGGTGGACGCCAAACCGGAGCAAAGCGCCAGCCAGCAATGCTACCCGCGTCGTCGAGCCATGCTTTCGGACGGAGGCGCCAGTGACCCCGAGCGGAGAACGGTAGGAGCATCGGAGGGCTCAACTCATGCCAAACTGGGCAAGGGGTGGAGAGTGACCTACCAAAGGATAGATCGGGCGATGGTGGTGACGAATCTGGGTGCTGATGGGGAGTAGCGGCTGGGGAAGGAGCGGATCTGGGCGGATTGGGTTGTGGCGGCTCGAGGAGGACGGAGGAGAGGGACGGGTCGGGGGGTCAGGGTCGTCCATCGTCCTCCTGCGCCTTAATTTGATACTCCGTATAAGAAATTTCCACTTCTTCCTGTTACTAGACCGACAAACGTTCTCTCGTAGCCTAGCAACCAACCAGGAGCCCTATTTTGAACCGTTGCTACTTTGCTAGCTGCGGGGGGTTCACTCCAAAGATCTCATGCAACCACGCTGATAACACTTGCCCTCGTGACGCCGCCTCTAATGGCCCATTCAGTTTGGTGTCGAAATACCGAAAGCCGGAGTCTACCCCGGTGGCACACATGTTCTAATTTCACCGTCCCCGTGATAAATTCTGAAATAATCCACTAATTCACCTGCCATCCCTCATACGATGCTGTACTAACCCATCAGTATTCAATTGCACTTATCAGATAGTAATCTTCAATTACGCAGGCTTCCGTCAGTAGCACTGATGGATCAGGCAACGAAACAAACTAAACTAGCCAGCGTTACAGATGGCAATGCAATAGCACGCCCACAGTTCAGATTCTTCAGAGCGACAGACACCATGTCCAGCATACATAACCTGAGGCAACACCTCCAAAGCAATACAGATGGCAATGGCATACCACGCCCACAGTTCAGATTCTTAAGAGCCACAGACTGACAGACACCATGTCCAACATACATAACCTGAGGCAACACCTCCAAAGCAACCACAGCAGCCAGGCCAGCAGGTCTAATTTGGCAATCAAGTTCTCCAGACATTTGGAGTTTAAGATGCAGCTCGAAACAGAAGGAGCCGTTGGTATCTCATTCCCAGCTTACAGGCCAAACAGACAACCATCTTTCACACATGGGCAGAATCAAGAATACATCGTTGGCCCTTACAACACCAGCTTTTAAAATTGTTTCATATAGAGCTTGTCTCTCAGTAGCATTTTAGGCCACTACCTGAAACTACTAGTTCAGCATCAACGAAGTACTATAATGTAAGCATCAGTCGAAACCAAAAATAAAAAGAACATTCAGCTTGTGAGAGCCATGCAAAACATCAGCTGCAACAGAACATGCTGATGAAAAAATGGTTATAAGCTAACACTGGCAAATTCTAAATATCTTAATAAACTCTACAATTATAAAGAGCTAAAGACTTATTCATGGTAGAAAAAGTAAGTTAAGGATATTCTTCAGTCATGTGCTAGGCAGAAGATGAAACCAACAAAATGTGCATTAAGGATCCAGAATAAGTCAAACACAGCTCCTTCATAGATAGCCTTAACTTAAACGTGGACTATGAGCAGTCACGGATCACTAGTGCTTCTATTGCAGAAAAATCAGAAACAGCCACTAATGAGCATGAGTTGCAGTTCCACCATTCACCCAAAACACAAAATGTGATGTTAAAATTAGATTCTAGATGGCATAATGCCAGCACGAGCTGCAGCATAAGTATCTGCAAGGCCAGGAACTGAGTCCTTGTGACGGTCGATGAACTTTGATTTGAAAGTATCCTCTCCAAGTGCAACTACTGAGTAAAAGCTCATATCCAACAGTCCCTTTTCCTGCAGGACCTTGATGACATAATGCCTGGGCAATAGCCGCTTCTCCAGGCTCAATGCTAACAGGACAGGCCTTTCAACAATGTATCGTGGCTCCATTGCAGCCTCACTGACCAGGAATTTAATCTTGCGAAGAAGAATTTCGTCAGAGAATCTTAGTATATTTGGCATCTTGGACACTGCAGTGGAAACCTCAGATTCAGAAACACCAAGAATCCTCTTATAGAACTCAAGCTTGGCGGCAACCCTGTCCTTGGAATTACGGGAGATGGTTGCCACTGCATGCCTGAACATCCGTGAGGATAGGGGGCACCCCAAGTTCTTCAGCCCGCAGTAAAAACTCCTTCACGCGCTCGGGCTTGAAGGTAAGCACCCACGCGTTGTCTGTGCAAAGCTGAGCAATATCTTGAACACCCCACTGACGGAACAAAGCGATGTTAGGCTTGATTAACCTCTCAGGGCTCGCAGTGAGGAGGGTCATGCACCTCTTTACGGCCACCAGCACCTGCTCAAATGAGCCATAGAAGGAGATGAAGAACTCGAGCCTAGGAATGACGTCGCAGTCGCGGAGAGCGCGTGAGCCGACCAGGAGGAAGCGAGCGATCTGGGGGAGTAGACAGACCGAGCCGGTCTCGGAGAGCAAGGAGGCGGGGGGCGATGTTCTTCACGGAGGCGCGGAGGATCAGCGGGTCCGCGGAGACGACGACGGCGATGTCGTCGCGGGAGAGGCCGACGCCGGAGAGCAGGGCGAGGATAGCATCGGGGTTGGAGGCGGAGTTGATGCGGGAGGAGGAGAGCTCATCCGATGGTCTCCTGTGTGCTCTGGATAACTCGTGGAACGCCTTCTTGGACACCTCGCGGGCTTGGGTTGGGGCGAGGCCGCAGGACGCGACGAGGTAGTCCTCGAGGGAGAAGGGCGCGGGGGTGATGGCGGTGGAGGTGGAGAGGAGGCGGCACGCGCGGCGGTGGATGGGGGAGGGTAGCGGGGAGGCGGCGCGGAGGAGAGGGAAGAGGCTATTTCGAAGGCGCGGCATGGCGGCGGCGCAGGATCGGCCGCCAGCTGCAGAGGGGCCGTCGGGTTATGCCTATGCGCGTCACGGCGTCAGGCTGCCCGGCGAGCGGCGATGCGGCAAGGGACGGAGGCGGAGCTACCCAACTGGGCTGAGAGAAGGCCGTATTGTCCGTTTACTGGGCCACCAAACGTGCTGGTGACTTCGGTGAGACGAACTGGGCCACTGCGTTATCAATCAAAATCTAAGTAGGGTTACTCAGAGCTAACGAGCTTTATATATTAATTGCTTTCGTCACTGTTTCTGATCTCTAATCTCCAAGTGAGGCAGCCTTCTGCCGGTGCCAGTATAGTAGTAGTAATAAATTGCTGATAAGCAGCTCTTGTTCATGTCTTTTGTACCGTAGCAGACGCACACTGAAACTAATAGCCGGATCAGATAATCAATCAGTTATAAAGCATCAGACACTCGTGCAAGAGAATTCTCAAGTTGCGCCAAATACGAGAATCAGAGAGACAGATATCTATCATTCTCCCACAAAGCAAACTCAACTAAAATGCAAACATATCATCAGAATTCAGAACACGGGTACAGGTGGGTATATGATGACGTAGAATTTGCACGGGACAAAAGGCCAAACTTCCATCAGGCCTCTTTCAGCCTTCCACACCCATCAGGCCATCACTAAGCTAAAGAATCGGAATTGGGGTTTGACAACAGCCCGACACCAGGCAACAATGGTGGATCCTTCTTCCCACTATAAGAATCAGAATCCTTCTTCCCACTATAAGAATCAGAATCATCTTCCTGCTCATGCACAAAGCTGCAACTCAAACATCTTCCCTGTGACATCTGGTGGCAGCTGCTTGGCCGTGTCCTCTCCAGCAAGGCAAGAAGCACGGCGATGCCCTTCTCCCGGAGGGGCGACAGCTCGTTCTAGCACTTCTTCCAGAGCGAGTCGACCACACGCAGCTCCTCGCGAGCAGCATGGAGATTGTCAGTGTCCATCGCGCAGATAACTTTGTTTCTAGAGGACGTCTTTCAGCTTGTCTTGGACACGTAGAGCGTTACCAGATGTCTTGTGCTGTACCAACTTACGGAGACCGCTTAGCGCAGCTCCTTGCACACTGGAAACGGGGTCAATTATCAGCTTTGGAAGATCAAGATCTGTAGCAACACTCCTGTCTGCCATGTTGCTGTGCAGCAGGTATGAGATTCAGAGCTTTCCTCAAAACGATACAACAAAGTTATGTCATTCACATTGCAGCTGAGTAATTCTGCCAGCAGAAAAAGTTTCAGGCAATACAATTAGGTTGAAGTTCAGCAAAATAGAGTACTACAGCTAAATAAAATGACCTTCAAACCAACACTACCATTAGCACAGAAATTTCAATATCACATGAACTATCCCAATGTGATAGTATAGCTCTGTTGGTATGCAGCCACTTGTTCACAGGGTCCATTAGGATTCTAGGCATAATTTCGGTACCCAGAGCCCCGTCCAGATCACTCCATTTACCCCAAATCTACTGTCTATGACACCTGGTTTAAGATAAATAACCCAATTGTAAACATGTCTTACAGATTTCTGAGAGTACTGTTATCATACGAAATAACACTTAAGTCTGGCATCATAGGAACCAAGAGAATCCTTTGATCCAGCGTAGCCATTTCCCACAAGGAATGTAGAAACTCCAGGCTGATTATGACGAAAAAGAGCTGCAAACAATTGTATAAAGTTTTTGTTAGCATGAGCAACAGAAGCTACCGTGTGAAAATTAACTGTAAAGTTCCTCCAAAGGATTATACTCTGCATGATACTGAGTGATACATACAGGACATGGCTCCTAAAGCTGTGCATTGGTACTTGGATCTTATATGAAGTTTGTCAGCAGTGGCTCCAGTCCATAAAATTCCATGGCAGGTTGCTGACTCTTCAGATAATTCTGCACAATTGTACTCGCAACTTATGCCGCCTTTGCTCGGATGCAAGCATTTGAATTTTTCAAGTAACCAAGTACAATGTAGATCTGTTTGAATAATTGCATATGCATTAGGTTCACAATAGCCATTAGAATAAGCATTTACAAGGAAGTCTTAATTACAACTATGAATCATACCATTTGCCATGTCAATGGATTCAACATGCTCTTGTATCTCAACCAATATACCTGAACAGATCAAGTAAATCGTTATTCCAGAGCCAACAACCCCTAGAACTTAAGGGTGACAAATATATATGTCCATCAAGTCAAATTCTAAGGAGGATACATGATTACACGACAAAAATAACATTGGAAGCTTTGGTTAACTAACAGGCAAGTGACAACATCACAACACATGAACACCCTCAATAACGAATCTCTCATATGACCATCAGCTACCAATTCCTTTTGCAAACGAACTATATAACTGCTAAGTGCCTCCACTGCTATATTTGCATCCTACAAAAATCGTTTCGCGGATCAATAAACAGCCTAGACCATTACAATCATATAGTTTATTTGTTTATTGTGTTAGCACATCAAGCTATGATCCTACCATACCATGCTACACAAACTAAAAGTTGCATGCATGCCAATGCGTTAAATACCCTTACGTCCTCAGTCAGATTAGAAGTGTCAATAATCTTTACCAATTACTGAACAAATCGACTTGAATAGCAATCGACTGAGGAAGTATCGGAATGCCCAAACAATACCTTCAATGTTCTCAAGGGTCACACCCTGAGACTGCAAGACACCTTATTGACTTTTCATAACCAGAGTGATATCCTTCATCCTCTTCACAACATCATTGCGTTAGCTTGCATGGCCTCCATAAAACATTTATTTGTCTTCCTTGCTACAGAACCAAAATAAATTAAATTAAGAACACAAGCGTTTGATCCACTTCTCTAAAATTAAGCACAGTAATTTTATTATGAGATGCTAAACCTACTAGCCACACAAATTAGAGAAAGGAAGTTAAATCTGGTCACCTGTCTGCTTTCAAACACACAGTAAGACAACAAAAATTGAGCATATTTAGTCTGGCCCCTAAGGTCTATAGGGTTTTTGTTTTCCAACAAAACGAGTACAAAGGGACAGGAGAAATGTTGCAGATTAATACAGCAAAACCTAAGCATATGAAATGACGAACACGGAGGAGTCATTAAGGTTTCGACACAGGACAAAAGCAGAGGGAGGAAGCAGGGGATCTGAATCTGACAGGAGCTGATCTGAGAGCGTGCAGCGGGTTGGTGCCGTCGCTGTCGGCAAGGCTCCACTTCAACAGGTCGTTCCAGTAGAGGGGGGGGGGTTCCTTCGCCATCCCCTTCTCTTGCTGAGCAGCAATGAGACAAGAGATGAATGGTAGGGTTTTGCAAGATTTAAATACTTCTCAGCCATGACAAATGGAGATAAGCTGTTTTAATAGATGTGACGAGTCTTGTTTGGTTGAGTTGCCACTCACCCGTTCACAAATCATGATGGACCACAATGCATTTTGCAGCTCTCGCGTTGCCAGTTGTAACTCATGCAAGTTTTCAAGTAGACATGACACTGAAGCTTAGGGCGCGTTTACTTTCCAAAAATTTTTGGGTTTGGCTACTGTAGCATTTTCATTTGTATTTGGTAATTAGTGTCTAATTATGAACTAATTAGGTTTGAAAGTTTCGTCAAATGATTTCTCACTCAACTGTACAATTATTTTTTTTTCCGTCTACATTTAGTACTCCATGTGTCACAAGATTCGATGTGACACTTTGGGGTGAAAAATTTTGGAAACTAAACAGGCCTAGAACCAACATACATAAACGGAGGCAACTAATTAGCGGTGCACATGACATGGTTCAGATTGGTCGGAAGGGCAACACTTCCAAAGCAACCACAGCATCCAGGCCAGCAGGTCTAATTTGGCAATCGATCACACAATATCCCCAGAGATCTGGAATTTCAGCAGCGGCTCAAAACAGAGGGCATCGATGGTTAGATTGGCTCAGGATCTGGCTTAGTAAGACTAGCCACAGCGTTGCTTTTTACCGGTGCCCAAACACTCCCTCTGCTATTTGGAGTACCGATGCCCACGTTGTAGCCGGTGCTGAGACGAAAAAAAAAAGTGAGCACCGATGTATGTTCGTTCACCGGTGCTTCAAACGTTAAAAAATATTATTCCTCGTTCGCCTCTGCCTCCGCGGCCGCTACAACGGGGTCCACAAGCACAGTGAAGCACCGGTGCCCACGCTGTGAGAATTGGAGAGCTGAAGCATCGGTGCTCTGTGTCAGACTGAAATTTTTTTCGGCACCGCTCACACTGTGGACAGTCTAATAAACTCCTTATAAAATAGTGCCTGCTACTATCACGCACAGGCATAAAAATAGAAATATTTCGAGAGAAACACCTACTTAAAATCACAAAAGTGAAGAAAATGGTAGTAACAAGTCAAGATGCCATAACTTAACCTTGGACAAAAGAGGCACATTCTCTATATATGAGATCAAATGCCTCAGTCACAGGCAGATAAATGAAGATGGCAGTATAAAAGGGTTATATTCTTGCTATGTATATTCTGTGGAAAACAAAACTATATAATAATAACTACTCTCCGCTATGAAGCCGTCACCCATAGAACTTGGAATTTCTTTTCAGCTGTTAGTATCTCATTCCCCCTTACAAATACTTTCCACAGGACAAAACAAAGTTAAGGATAATCTTCAGCCATGTGCAAGGCAGAAGATGAAACCAACAAAATGTGCATTAAAGATCAAGAATAAGTCAAACACAGCTCCTTCCTAAATAACCATAAATTAACCTTGGACTATGACCGGTCAGTGATCACTAGTGGTTATATTGCAGATATCAGAACTGAGAAAGCCTGCACGGAGGACAGCCGCTAATGACCATGAGTTGCTGTTCCAGCATCCACCTAAACCACAGAATGAGATGCTTAAATTACACTCTATAGGGTATAATACCAGCACGAGCTGCAGCATAAGCATCTGCAAGGCCAGGAACAGAGTCCATGTGACAGTCGATGAACTTCGATTTGAAAGTCTCCTCTCCAATTACAGCTAATGAGGAAAACCTCATATTTCTATTCAGCAATCCCTTTTCCTGCAGAACCTTCATGACATAATGCCTCGGCACTAGCCGCTTCTCCAGGCTGTAGGAGAGCAGTACAGGCCTTTCAACAATATATTGTGGCTCCATCGCAGCCTCATTGATTAGGAACTCAATCTTGCGTCCAATATTCTCGTCAGATAATCCTAATATTTTTGGCATCTTGGACACTGCAATCAAAACCTCAGACTCAGAACAACAAAGAGTCCTCTTAAAGAACTCAAGCTTGGCAGCAACCTTCTCTTTGGAAATATCGGCAACGGCGGCCACTGCGTGCCTAAACATCCGCGAAGTGGTAGGCACCCCAAGTTCTTCTGCAAGTAGCAAAACCTCCTTCACACGTTCCCGGTTGAAGGTAAGCACCCACGGTTTTTCTAAACACAGCCTAGCAATTTCTCCAACACCCCACTGGCGAAACAAAGCTATGTTAGGCTTGATTACCCTCTCAAGGCTCGCCGTGAGGAGGCCCTTGCACTTCTTTGCGACCACCAGGACTTGCTCAAACGAGCCATAGAAGGAGATGAAGAACTCGAGCTTTGGAACGACGTCGACCTTGCGGAGAGCGAGTGAGCCGACCAAGAGGAAGCCAGCTATCTGGGGAGTAGACAGACCGACCCGGTCGCGGAGAGCAACAAGGCGGGGGGCGATGTTCTTCACGGAAGCACGGAGGAGCAGCGGGTCCGCGGAGACGGCGGCGGCGATGTCCGAACGGGAGAGGCCGGCGCCTGAGAGCAAGTCGAGGATGGCATCGGGGTTGGAGGCGGAGATGAGGCGACAGTAGGAGAGCTCCTCTAATGGTCTCTTGTATACTCTGGATAATTCGTGGAACGCCTTCTTGGACACCTCGCGGGCTTGGGCTGGGGCGAGGCCGCAGGACGCGACGAGGTAGTCCTCGAGGGAGAAGGGCGCAGGGGAGGGGGAGGTGGAGAGGAGGCGGCACTCATGGGGGTGGATGGGGAAGGGTAGCGGGGATGCGGCGCGGAGCAGAGGGAGGAGGCAATTTCGTAGGCGCAGCATGGCGGCGGCCGAGGGGGGAGGGGAGGCGCTGAGGCCGGCCGTCGTCCGAGAGCAAGCAGCAAGGAATGAAAGATGGATTGCCGTGCCTGCTGCTTATCTCCTGCCGGGTGAGGTGGCCAGGGACCAGAGGCGGAGCAACGGATAGGCTGCGGCGGCCTTGGCACCGCCGCCGCCTGGCCCCGATGTGTCGCGCGCGCACGGCCGCTGCCGTGCCCCGCCTGCCCTGCGGCCAGCGTGGTTGCTGGTCGCCCGCGCTGCCCTTCACCTTGATTCGGACGCGCCGCTAGGGTTTGTGGTAGGGGAGCGTCGTCGGAGCCAAAGAGGGCGCCGCCGCTCTGTTTGGCGAATGCCGATACGAGCGACGGCGAGAGACCGAGAGAGGAAGGCGAGCTGCCGAGCTGGGCTGGGAGAAGGTTTGCTGGGCCATCAAAATCGTCGGTTATGCAACCTGCCTCGCGGGCTTGGGCTGGGCATCAAATTGCTTGTGCCGTGATGAGTTGATAACAAAGCTTCCTCCTAAAAAAAACTTGATAACAAAGCTAGTTAGCCCATTCCAAATAGCGCTCAGAACATTGATTTGGTACTCGCAGTTAAGTGTAGTATTTCTATCTCAACTCTACATCCCATGATTGTGGAATATTAGCTTCCTGTTGGTACCGGGTTATATGACACGTGGATAAACAATAGGAAAGGTCCTAGCTTATGAACCTTAGATAGGTATTAACTTGAGATTACTTCATTTCATTATTATTACTTTGGTTCACCAAAGTTATCAGTATTTGAACTAGAAGAAGTTGTAACTTCGTTTATAAGAAGAGAACTTTTTCTAATAATATGCAATGCATGCTTTTTCATTATGAAAATAATTAAGAGAGTTTATAACGTGATGACCCCAACATGACTTAGGGACTCAGGGCATGATCGGAAGCCTGAATAGGTTTAGGCCTAGTCCGCGTCATGCAACGACTTATGGTTCACTGCTCCGAGATCTTCTCGGTACACGAACATCAAAGTGCCTTCAGCCAGGCTATACAGAAACACATGAAGAAAACAGTGTGTTGTGTGGTTTGTGGACTTAGGTCTTGTTTAGCAGAGCTCTCAGAGCTGATTCTCCGTTGAATCCAGTAGAAGCTCTGTCAAACAGTTTTTCAGAAAGAAATGATTTTCTGATTCTACGAAGTGATTCTCTGAAATGAATTAAGAGATTGAGAGCTGAAAAAAGTAGCTTCTCCTAATTCTGTGGAGTGATTTTCCATCGTGATTTTAAGAGTTTATGCTAGAAGAATCAAAGAAAATCACTTTTAGCCACAGAATCACTTCTCTCGTAGAATCAGCTTCTGCTTCCGTACAGAAAACATGCCCTTATGGATGGTTATAGGATTAACTCGGGTTCTCTCTGCCTCTCTGGCCCGAGTAGCCCGACTGACGGGTGGGCGCGAGCTGGGAGGCTGGGATTCGGATTCTGCAGCCAATCCAACCAGGCCGGCCCACTGGTCCGACCAGCCCTTCCTGAGCTAACCCGAACCAACCCACACGAGAACCGGTTGGTCCGGTCGCTTCTCCGACCATGAGCGCCGGCCCGCCGCTCCTCCCCACCTACCCACTCCCACACGTCGCCCCCACGTCAGCCGTCTCCCCCCACCCCTCCCGGTTTTCTTCCTCCCGGACCCCGTCCCGGCGGCCGCCGATTTGAGGGAAGCCCGGCCGTTTCGCCTCCCGAAAACCCGGGTGAGTTCTCTCTTCCCCTTCCTCTCTCTCTCCTCTCCTTCCTTTCGGTTTCGGGTTCTGCTGGTTTATTTCGCGCCCGCCCCCGGTTCCGGCTGATTGGGGATTTAGTATGGTGCCATACGACGATTGCTCTTCGAATCCAATTGCGCCGTTCCTAACGCTGACGCTCGGCGGTGATGGCTGATGCAGCAGCGCTCGTGCTCTTGCCTGATGGAGAGCGACGCGGTTCTGGAGGATGCGGCGGCGGCGGCGGGGGAAGGGGAGGAGGAGCAGCAGGGGGAAGTGGAGGTGGTGGTGCCGATCGGCGCGCAGAAGCACGACCCGGCGTGGAAGCACTGCGTCATGGTGCGCTCCGACGGCCGGCTGCGCCTCAAGTGCGCCTACTGCGGCAAGCACTTCCTCGGCGGCGGCATCCACCGCTTCAAGGAGCACCTGGCCCGCCGCCCCGGGAACGCCTGCTGCTGCCCCAAGGTGCCCCGCGACGTGCAGGACACCATGCTCCGCAGCCTCGACGCCGTCGCCGCCAAGAAGATGCAGCGCAAGCTCGCCGCCTCCCTCTCGCCCGGCGACATGCGCCGCTTCGCCGCCGCCAGCGCGCCGCCCGCCTCTGTCTCTACCGCTAGCGGGGGCACCGGCAGCCCCATCCACATGATCCCGCTCAACGAGGTGCTCGATTTCGAGCCCATGCCGCTCGAGGAGCAGAGGCCTCCGGTTCCGGAGGGCAGCATGAGGGGGAGTAGCAGCGGTAAGAAGAAGAGGAAGCAGGTGACCTACGCCCCTGCTCTGCCACTTATACCCCAGACTCGGCCGCAGCATGTTCCGCCTACTCCTCAGACCAATCTTCTTCATGGGCTGCAGCATGTTCCGCCTACTCCTCAGACCAATCCTCTTCATCAGGTTGTGATGGCAGTGGACGCAGTGGCACCGGCAGAGCATTTCGAACATGCTGCCCCCTCGGAGAAGGAGCAGGTTTCCGTGGCAGTTGGGAGGTTCTTGTATGACGCTGGTGTGCCATTGGAAGCAGTGAACTCAGTCTACTTCCAGCCGATGCTTGAGGCCATTGCGGCTGCAGGAGGGAGGCCTGAGGTGCTCTCTTACCATGACGTTCGCGGTCACGTTCTTAAGAGGTCACTCGACGATGTGATGTCTCGCTTGGAGTTCTTCAGGGGTTCATGGACCAGGACGGGCTGCTCGGTGTTGGCTGATGAGTGGATCACTGAAAAAGGCAGAACCTTGATAAACTTCTCCGTGTATTGCCCGGAAGGTACTATGTTCCTCAAGTCTGTGGATGCAACCAGCATTGTCACATCTTCAGATGCACTGTACGAGTTACTGAAAAGTATTGTTGAGGAGGTTGGCGAGAAAAAAGTCGTCCAAGTGATCACAAACAATTCTGAGATCCATGCAGCTGCAGGAAAAAAGCTAGGCGAAACATTTCCCACATTGTTCTGGTCTCCATGCACTTTCCAGTGTGTTGATGGCATGCTCGAAGATTTCAGCAAGGTGGAGGCAATCAGTGAGATAATAAGCAATGCAAAGGCCATCACGGGATTTGTCTACAACAGCGCATATGCGTTGAATCTGATGAAGAAGTATCTGCAAGGGAAGGATCTGCTAGTTCCTGCAGAGACTCGTGCGGCTATGAACTTTGTGACATTGAAGAACATGTACAGTTTGAGGGAGGCTTTGCAAGCTATGGTCAACTCAGATGAATGGATAGACTTGCTGCCAAACAAAGGAGGGATTGAAGCAAGCAATCTTGTTAATAGTTTGCAGTTTTGGAACTCTTGTGCTGCCGTCATTCGCATCACCGAGCCACTTGTGCACCTTCTTAAGCTAGTCAGTAGCAACAAGAGGCCTTCTATGGGGTACGTATATGCTGGATTGTACAAGGCCAAAGCAGCAATCAAGAAAGAGCTGGTGAGTAGGAACGACTACATGGTTTACTGGAATATTATCGACTGGAGATGGGACAACCAGACACCACAGCCACCTCATTCAGCTGGCTTCATCCTGAACCCTCTATTTTTTGATGGAATTCGAGGTGACATATCAAACGGAATCTTCTCAGGAATGCTAGACTGCATAGAAAGGCTGGTATCTGATGTGAAAATCCAAGATAAAATACAGCGAGAACTCCACATGTACCGGAGTGAAACAGCAGGGGATTTTCGTAGGCAGATGGCTATCAGATCTAGACGAACTTTACCTCCTGGTTAGTGTTTTAAAGTTCTCGTGAACTAGTTTACTTGCTAGTATTATGTTTTTGTTTTTTACAAACATGAGTTACACATTTGTAGTTTTAGATCATACCAAACAAGATGTAACTTTTCTGACAAACCTTGTTAGCCTTCTTTCAAAAATTGGAACCTTGTTAACCTATTGCATCCTTTGTTCGAGGTAACCATAAGGTGAAGTACTGAACTTTGTTCTTTACTATTGTTATTACGTTGCAGCTGAATGGTGGTATACATATGGAGGAGCTTGCCCAAATTTAACACGTCTAGCGGTCCGTATTCTCAGTCAAACCTGCAGCGCTAGAGGATGTGACCGGACGAACATTCCTTTTGAACAAGTTCATGACGAAAGAATGAATAGTTTTGAGCGTCAGCGAATGCATGATCTCACCTTTGTACAATACAACCTACGGCTGCAGCAAAGGTAATGAAATCATCTTGTTGCGGAGAATTTTGCCATTAGATGCTAAAATAGGATATGTTTTGCTTGATAACTGTAGAATAATACCGCACACCCTAATTAGGGGGGGTGGCCTTCATTATATAGCCTAATAGGCTAGGGTTACAATGTACACGGGCCAATGGGCCATACGCCCAATATGGGCTGTTATAATTACATTCTAACACCCTCCCTCAGTCTAAGCGGGAGTGTCACGAACACAAAGACTGGACCTAAAGTCAGTAAACAACTGTACAGGTAACCCTTTGGTCATAATGTCCGCGAACTGATGAGATGATGGAACATGGAGCACCCGAACCTGTCCCAAAGCAACCTTCTCACGAGCGAAGTGAATATCTATCTCAATATGCTTCGATGCGACGATGATGAACTGGATTGGCGGTCATGTAGATAGCACTAACATTGTCGCGATGAGCGATCGTCGCCAAGAGATGGGTGCGTGGAGCTCTGAAATGGCCAGCGAAGCCAACAAGTCTCGACCACGGCGTGTGTAACAAAGACGATACTCGACCTCCTTTTCGAGCGAGAGACCGTAGTGCATCGTTTAGAGGACCAAGAGACTAAATTGTCGCCGAGGAAGACACGATTACCACGAAGTGGGCGCGCGAGAGTCGGGACAACCAAACCCAATCAACATCGGAGTAGGCGGTCAAGCTTGTGATCTCAGCTGCAGTGCGATGTGAAGCCGATGGACGAGGTGCCTTTGACATCTTGCGGGACACGCTTGAGCATCGCAAGATGAGGCTCTCGCGGGTCGTGCATGAAGAGGCAAACCTGCTGAACTGCATAGGCAAAGTCCGGACGAGTCAGCGTGAGGTACTGTAGAGCACCGGCGAGGCTGCGGTACTAAGTGACATCCGCCACCGGAGCGCCGTCCATAGCTGAGAGCTTGGCCTGAGTGTCGACACTCGACCATGCCGCTATGTGGAAGCGAGTCCACAGTGCATCGGGCGCCGAGACGAGAAGAGGCCATCGCCGAACGCGTGATGTGAGATCCCGAGGAAGTGATGAAGATCCCCGAGATCTGTCATGGCGAACTCGGAGTGAAGAAGCTCGGTGAGGCGTCGAAGAAGCGAGGTCGACGAGGCTGTCAGGACGATGTCGTTGACGTAAAGTAGCAAGTAGGCGATGTCAGATCCCACTCTGTAAACAAAGAGGGACGTATCGGAGGCCGATGCTGTGAAGCCGGACCGCCGGATGAAGCCGGAGAACTGCTGGTGCCACGCCCTGGGCGCCTGCTTGAGGCCGTACAAGGACTTTTGCGGGAGGCAAACATGGTCGGGAGCTGCCGGGTCGACGAAGCCGGGCGGCTGCTGACAGTAGACCGTCTCGTTCAAATGGCCGTGGAGGAAGGCGTTCTTCACGTCCAGTTGATGGATCGGCCAGGAACGAGAGGCGGCGATGCTGAGGACGACCCGGATGGTGGCCGGTTTGACAACCGGACTGAACGTCTCGTCGTAGTCGATGCCGTCTTCTTTGTGAGAACCCACGAACGACCCATCGGCTTTATGACGAGCGAGAGCCATCGACATGATACTTGTGCTTGAAGACCCACTTGCCGTGATGACGTTGGCTCGAGGCGGTCGAGGAACGAGACGCCAGGTGCCATTGTCCATGAGCGCCTTATATTCTTCAGCCATCGCCGCCGCGCCAATTCGCGCCGGCGAAGCGCGCGAGAGTTGCTCGCAACAGCGGAGAAGCGGCCCGAGGCCGCTGCGGTGAAGCCGTACCGCTGCATGGGCGGCGGCAGGGAACCCGTCTGGGAACGAGTCGTCGCCAGCAGAGGAGGCTCTGCGGTCTTTGGAGCTGAGGGCAAGACCGCCGCAGGGCCTGGCAGCCGCCGGTGGCGGATGTGGAGCCGGCGGCGGAGCTGAACGACGACCGGTGGATGCCGAACCGCTGCCGGCCGGGGGCGGGGCGACAACACCTGCTGGCGGAGGAGGTGCTGGAGCCGCGGCCTGCCGAGGAGCCGAGGGCAGCCGGTGAGCGCGCCATGCCACAGGATGGCGGGTCGAGTCCGACGGGATCGCCCAGCATCGCCAGCGTCGCCGCTCGAGCCGAGACGAGGCGGCGCCATCGAGGTCCGCGAGTGCCGAAACGTCCCGAGGTAGACGGGCGGTAGCGCGGAAGTAAGTCCTGTAACAAAAATCAAGAGAATCCGGTCGAGGCTTGGAGGCCGCAAAGCGGAAAGTGAGTCTCATAAAAAAGCGGCGTGTCGCGAGATGATGATCTTGCAGTGGAGAGTCAAGACACCGTAACCCTTACGTGATGGAGGTAACCGAGGAAAACATCTTTGTGGAGCGAGGAGACAATTTGTGGCGAGTCGTGGCACTAAGGTTGGGGTAGCATAGGCGACCAAAAACCACGAGGATGGAGTAGTCTCGCATCTTGTGGTGGAGGAGATGATATGGTATACCGTTATTTTTGGGCGAGGATGGCCGCCGGTTCGTGAGGAACACACGCGGTGGAGAGAGCTTCGATCCAATAGGATGGAGGCATGGCGGCATGAATCGAAGCGTCACGAACACCATTGTTCGTAGTCCGAGCATGCGCCAACCCTTGCCATTCTGAAAGCGGATGTGTAGGGGCACGAGGTGCGAAGGAGAATGCCGCGGCCACCAAGAAGGTGGCGGTGGCATTGTTGAGAACTTCGGTGCCATTATCTACTGAAAACAATGACAAAAAAATGAATCGTGTGTGAGCGTAAGCAACAAATTGAACAATGTGTTCATGAACTTCAGATTTATGACGAAGAGGGAACGCCCAAATAATAATGTGTATAATCATCAACTAACACAAGATAAAATTTATAACCGAAATACTACATAATCGGAGAGGTCCAAACATCACAATGAACAAGTTCAAAAGGTGCTGATGTACCAGAGACCGAACTAGCAAAAGGCAGCCTAGCATGTTTACCGAGCTGGCAAGCATGACAAATGCGGCGAGCTGCTTTATTACACTGGATAGCTGATAGCTTATTTAGAGTAGCGACGACAGCAGGAGCAGGATGACCAAGGCGGGAGTGCCACAGCTCTGGGGAGACGACAGCGACATGACAGCGAGGTGGCATGCGATGTGGAATGGTGTAGAGGTCCCCATGGCTATTGCACCGAAGGAGGACTGTCTTGGTCTTGAGATCCTTAACAGAAAAACCAGAGGCGTCAAACTCAATTGAACAATTATTGTCGCGAGTAAACTGTCGAACAGATAACAGGTTACGGGTGAGTTGCGGAGCGACAAGAACATTATCAAGATGAAAGGAACGATCAGCTATTTGTAAGGAAGATGTGCCACGACTAAAGACAGGAATAGATTGTCCGTTACCAACCGTAATGGAGGATGGTAGTGATGGGAGACGGGAAAGAAGTATACCGTCGTTGGAGGACATGTGGGATGTCGCTCCGCTGTCCATGACCCAGGGGGAAGACCCCTGAACCACCATCTGATTGAGGGCGGCAATCAGGCTGGTCGCGTCGAGAGCCGTACCGTACCACGGCGCGGCGGTGGAGTATCTTGGGCGTGGCGGCGAAAGCGCGTGTGCGCTGCGAGGGGCGGCGGCGGTGGAGGAGGCGCGGATGGCGCGCCCCACTGCTGCTGCTGAGGAGGCCACTGCTGGACGGCCCAAGGGTTATAGCAGACCCAAGGACCGACCGGCTGAGGAGCCTAACGTCCGCCTGGAGCGCCCTGGTGGGCGCCATGCTGCTGGTTGCGCCCGCCGCCTCCGTTGTTGCCGTTGCCGCCACGCTCTCCTTTGCCCTTGCCCCCCTTTCCCTTGCCACCACCCCCACGGTTGGATGGCGCGGGAGTGGGCCGGCAGGATGGTGAAGTGCAAGAGGAGGTGGAGGCGCGGGGCAGAGGCGGCGGTAGCCCTGTGGTGCGGTGGCGCGTGCCCTCGAGGAAGGGCACACGGGCAGCGGAAAAGGAAAGTGGAAAACCCAGGATCAGGCCCCCAGAACTCGTGATACCATGTAGAATAACACCGCACACCCTAATCAGGGGGGGTGGCCTTCATTATATAGCCTAATAGGCTAGGGTTACAATGTACACGGGCCAATGGGCCATACGCCCAATATGAGCTGTTATAATTACATTCTAACAATAACAAAGCATGGATGGATTAACCAATTGAGTGATCTTTTTGATAGACAACAGCGCAAGGTGAAAGCATTTGATCCTCTCTCAGTGGACTACATAGACGTAGTTGATGACTGGGTTGTGGATAGATGTGCAATGTTCTCTGGCCCAGCTGAGCAGCCAAACTGGATGGAGATTAATCAATCAGTCAACCGAATCACATCAAGGGAACCAACTGAAGATGAATTTGAATCCTTCATTGAAGGTACATCCATATGCATTTCCTTTTGTAGGCTTTATCTGTGGGGTAATGACAAAAGCTGAATATTCGACGTTCTAAACTTCCTTTCAGGAGTTGATGACGAAATGATCCAAGGTGCTGCTCAGGGCTTCCAGGAAGATGACAATGATCCTGCTTGTGGCTGAGGCTATAGATTAACTAGTCAGCTAACCTGTAAGCTAATGTTGCATGGCTAAAATCTTGGATTGCCTGCTGTATTTTTCGAAATAGGGCTGTCTTATTGTGTCACCTAGCTCTTCAGATACTTTAGAGTTCAGATATCTTCCATATCTTTCCCAAGTCCATCATTGGTCCACAGCACACATTTTTATCATAATAAAGTTTGAGGTTCTCGTGCCAGTGTGCCACGATCTTTTTCCCATGATAAAGAAGGTTGATGTCTTTCAGCTCCTTCTGAGCGAAGGCGAAGGCGACAGCTTGGATTCCGATTATTGAAAGAAATTATGATACCATATTATTGTTTCTTTTGAGGTTTATATATGACTGCTTACCTGAAGAATTTCACCTACAGTCAGTTAAGGCTTGGTGTTCACCTTTTTGTTCTCGTCATGATCAAACAAGCGAGGAATAGTTCAAGCTGATTGGTATAGCCTCAGCCTCAGCAGTTAAAGCTTTATACATCAAACTTTATTTTTTGGTCATCCCTACAAATGGCTGACCATATCTATATTTACTTCCAAGAAAATATCACACAACACCTAAACCTATGGTGACTATTTGCTTCCCTATCCAACTATCGTAAACACATGACTAAACTTAGTAATTTGGTGAAGACAGATGGTGCCACTACTCAGCCGGAGCCGGAGGAGACCTGCTGCTCCTCGCCGGTGGAGTGTGAGGAAGACGGCTGCGTGGTGACGCTGGTGACCTCCGACGTCGCTGGGAACATGGTGGCGAACTCGTCGAAAGACTCGCTGTATCCGTAGAACAACCTGTTGTTGCTGGCTAAATCTTTCGGCGGCGTCTCCGGCACCGGCGCGGCGCCTTCGAGGATCTGCACGGCTTGCCTCATGCTCGGCCGGCACCGGGGATCAGGGTGAGAGCAGAGCAGGCCGAGCTTGAGCACCAGCTCGACGTCGGCCTCGTCGCACTTGCCAATCTTTGGGTCCCTGGCTTCCACGATCCTCCCGGCCTTCCAGCACTCGAGGACGAGGTCGACGAGCCCCGGCGAGTCGAGGTCGTCGTTGCGCTCCATGGGCCGCCGGCCGCACGCCACCTCGAGCAGGAAGGCGCCGAACGCGAACACGTCGGTGCTCGTGGTGGCCTTGCCCGTCTTGCTCATCTCCGGCGCGAGGTACCCCAGCGTCCCGATGACGTGCGTCGTCTGCGGGTTGCTGCCGTGGTCGTACAGCCGCGCGAGGCCGAAGTCGCTGAGCTTGCCGTTCATGTCCGCGTCGAGGAGCACGTTGGCGGACTTGATGTCGCGGTGCACCACGACCTGCTCCCACCCCTCGTGCAGGTACAGCAGCCCGGCGGCCACGTCCCGGATGATCTTGCCGCGCTGCTCCCAGCTCAGCACCGGCTTGGCGCCGGCGTCGAACAGGCGCCTGTCGAGGCTGCCGTTGACCATGTAGTCGTAGACTAGTATCAGCTCGCCCCGCCGCCGGCAGTAGCCGAGGAGCTGCACCAGGTTGCGGTGTCGCAGCCGGCTCATGCTCGCGATCTCGGACACGAACTCGCGCAGCCCCTGCCGGGAGTCGTGGGACACCTTCTTGACGGCGACCTCGGCAGCCGCCGGCCGCCGGAGCACGCCGTGGTACACGCGGCCGAAGCCGCCTTCGCCGATGACGTCGCGGAAACCCCTGGTCGCCGCGTGGAGGTCCTTGTACCTGATCCGGTGAGGGCCGTACTCTATCTCCCAGTCCTCTTCCTCCTCGGCGAACCTCCGGCGCCTGAAGACGAGCACCGCGACTGCCACCGACGCTAGGAGGAGTGCCACGACGACGACAGCCAGGGACAGCGTGACGACCAGTAGCTGCGACGGCGTCTTCTTGGACGACCTTGACGTCGGGACAGACGGGAGCTTCGAGGGGTCGAGGTCCGTCGCGCGGCCGCCGCCTAGGCGGAAACTCCAGCCAAGAACGTAGTGAAAGGTCGAGGCCGCGCCGTTCGCCGCCGTGAACCCGACGTACGTGTCGTCGGCCACGGCCGACGAGAGGTTGACGATGGAAGACACGAGCGGGAGGGACGGCCGGGGCTTGCGCGCCGGCGCCACCGTCACCTCCAGGCGCATGGTCGCGCCGTCGTACTCGACCCACACCTGTAGGGGCTCCCCGCTCACGAGGCTGATGCCGGCGAACCTGCCAACGTCGCCGTCGGTGTAGTACCCCGCGGCTGTCGAGTTCGCGGACCACAAGCCGCCAACGTCGATGCCGACGTGGTTGTTGTTGGTGTCGTTAAACTCGACATCCATCGCCGTGTCGAACTCGACGGCGACGACCTCACTCCTAAGCGGTCCCATGTTGTCAGACGTGTTGAAGAGGCCGAGGTACTTCCCTGCCAGGGCTCCCGGCACGGCCACCGACGGCGCGAGCGCGAAGGCGATGCCGTGGCCGTGCGCGTCCTCGTGGCGCGGCACCATGGCGAGCACGAAGGTGGTGGAGAAAGAGCGCGGCGCGCCCGTGGAGGGGTCCTTGAAGCGGAGCGGCACGGGGTGGAAGCCGTGCCCGAACACCTCGTTGGTCTCGTTGGTGAGCTGCAGGAGGCCGGAGGAGGTGAGGACGGCCGTGCCGCTGGTCGTGACGTTGTCGCGCGCGAAGCCGGTGAGCACGAACTCGACGGCTGCTGATCCGGATCCGCCTCGGGCGAGGAGGAGCAGGACGACCACCCGCACGGCAAGAGCGGCCGCTGGCATCGCGGAACGAGGCAGGCAGTGACCTGGACTGGGGTGGCTGCCAGCGAGGAGCAAAGCCGCGGGTGTGCTTCTGCTTATATCAGGTCGGGTCCGGCGCGGTGGAACGGAATCTGGGACTTGCTGAAAGGAATGGAATTAGGCGCTCCATCGGTTACTCGTTGGTAGTTGCCTGCTGCCGGCCGGGTCGTAGGTGTTGGTCTGCTGTTGGCGTCGTCGCTGCCTCGATCAGCTGGTGGTCCGCGAGAGGGACGTGGAAGTGGACGGCACCGGAGGGGCTCGGGTAGTCGGGAGCCCGGGACCGGGAGGGGACCGGACGGGGTGGCATGACAACTTGACAAGGATGGCATGGAGGGGCTAGAAACGACAATTATGACTGGCGAATGCGTCGCGCGCGCGGTGTGTGTGTCAGTGTGTAGAAGGTTTTTCTCTCAATTCATTTCGGTGATACATATTTTTTATTTTCATAGCAATCCCTCACTTCCGCCCCTTTCTCGTGGACTTTATGGACCTGTGTTTTTCAGTACTACTTTAATAGTACTTTTCAGCGAAGGAATAATATTTTTCCACTCACAGCGTATCAGCAGCAGCCAAAATTCAGCGAAACCAACAGGGCCTATATATTCTCTCTATGGCTGAACGTGACATGAGAAAAGGTAACGCCCCAAAGTCTCGGTGAAAAAGGAGGAGCGTGCATGCATAATGCACGAGAGACTACGTAGTGTGGTAGAGAAATTTTTTTACACTTTCCAGTCAAATACCCAGCCAGACGGTTAGACTAGAGGCCCCTTTCAATTCTAAGACTTCTGTGGTCCCATTTGCATCCATTTAGTTATCCAAAATCTTTGGTGGGTAGGATGTTTGTTTCGTCCGGACGTGCGTTGGTGGGCCTCGACGACCGCTCGAACGGCCCAACACCGCCATCTGCACGGACGCACCCATCTCGTGTTGCTCAAAACAAAAAAAAAACTCCGCTCTCACTTTCCTATCGAATCGCCGCTGTGCCCGTATCTATTCTCGAACCCACTCTCGAATGCCACCGCGCTTGTACCGCCGTGGCGGGCTCCACCGCCACCACACTACTGCGCCCGCAACATGGCGACGTGTTGCACCGCGCCCGAGCGCCGTCGTCTGCCTTCTTATCTCCCCACTGCACCGGTGCGACGTTCTTCACCGCACCCAGCCGCTTGCCTGCTGCCATACTCCCTCTCCAATACACCCAATCGCCGTTTGCTGGATACTGCAGTTCTCTACCAGGTAGGCCGTGGCCATCGGCGACGCCGTGCTTCAATTGTTTCAGGTGTTCCAGAAGTATGTTTTCAAGTGTTTTATCTGAATGTTGCGTATGTTGCAATGGCTAATACGCATGTTGCAAGTATACGTTTCTAGTGTTTTAGTTATTTTAGACGTATGTTTCAAGTGTTTCATCTGGATGTTGCAGAAGTATCTAGATGTTGTGTAACATGCATATTGCAAGCGTTTGTTTTAAGTGTTTCAGATGTTTCATATGTATGTTGCAATTATTTTATCTGGATGTTGCAAAAGTAGATCTGGATGTTGCATGCGTCTGCAATGGTTTTCAAGTATTTTCAAATGTTTTGCAAGTGTTTCAGACGTATGTTGCAAGTGTTTCAACTGTTTCGGACATATGTTGCAAGTGTTTCATTTGGATGTTGTAAAAGTAGATCTGATGTTGCACATGTTGCAATAAAATCACCTGCCACAGCTGCCTACTGCAGCTGCTGGGCGCTGTCGAGTGGACCAGACTGTCTCCGCCTACATGCACGTGAAAAACGTACGAGGCACGAGCGGTCTTCGCCTGTTGTCACTGTTTGGACACATGCACCTACACATACGCTACACCAAACCAAACAACCACCCTTGTATGCAAGTCAACAGATAGTACTGCTTCCTGCATTACAGAAAGGGACCCAAGAATAGACAACAATAATCACTACTAGTACACGCTCGCTCATATATATACGAGTGGAATTTGTCACTGTATTTCGAAATCACTGTGTACTTGCTCTAATCAACAAGCACCTCGGCGCGCGGCGGCAAGGCATCAGCAGTGCAGCCTGTGCAGGACTGACCCGGGCTGGATCGCAGATGAACCGGCCACGCTAATTAGCGAACGGTGAACGATCCGACAACCCCTGCGACTTTTCATTTTTGGTACAAAAAATTCTATAACTTTCTTTTTTGGAAAGTTTCTTCATTCTTGACCCAAAAAAAAATCCCCAACTTTTCTTTTTTAAAGTTACAAAGTTATGC